CCCCCCTCTCCCCCCCCCTCCTCTCTCTGTCCCCCCCCTGTCTCTCTGTCCCCGCCCTCTCTCTGTCCCCGCCCTCTCTCTGTCCCCGCCCTCTCTCTCTGTCCCCACCCTCTCTCTCTGTCCCCTCCCTCTCTCTCTGTGACCCTGTCCTGTCTCTCTGTGACCCTGTCCCCTCTCTCTGTCCCTGTCTCTCTGTCCCCATCAGTGGAAGGCATAAATAAACTTAAAACAGTATGACAAACCAACCACTGAGGCACAGCAGTGACAAAGCGCCCCACGGGGCTGAAAGCCACACAGTAACTGTGGGCTGGATCCTCAGGGTCAACCTGCAAACTCGCCCGGGTGCGTGCAGGCGCCTGATCCCGCAGAGCCAGAGGGATGAGGGCAGGGAGTGGCAGCAGGACAAGGCCCGTCAGGGTGCCTCTCTCCCACACACGTGCTCTGTCACCGATAAGTGGAACGGAACACTAGGCTGGGTGGATGTCCCTGACCTGTCGCCGTCTGCAGTTTCACGCCCGCAGACGCCAGCCGTCAGCAGCGAGCCGTCCGAGGGCTCCAGGCCTGGCTCATGCTGTCATCTGCACCAGGAGGGCCGGTGGAGCCGCGGGGGCTTGACTGGCCATGTCTCCCTGCCCAGGTCATCATGGGGATCCTCTTCCCCCCCACCATCCTCTTCCTGGAGTTCCGTGCGCACGACGACCTGTCCTATCAGACGTCCGAAGAGGGCAAGGACGGCCGGGAGAAGGAGGAGGAGAACACGGTCAGTACTGCCCTGGCCTCCTGGCCCACGTGCCCCGGGCGCTGCGTGGCTGTTGGCCGCCAGGGCTCCCAGCCCGCGCCATGGGGGTCCGAGTGATGCTTGGTTTTAAAGGCCCCAGGCTGGCCAGGGCCGGCCCGCCCAGCACACCCTGCCCTCTGTTCCAGGACGCAAACGCAGACGCCGGTTCGAGGAAGGGGGACGAGGAGAGCGCGGTCAGAAAGCAGAGGAGCATCCCCATCGGCACCAAGATCTGCGAGTTCTACAACGCACCCATTGTCAAGTTCTGGTTCTACACGGTGAGTCCGCCCGCTTGGCCGGACCGCCGGGACCCAGGGCACCGTGGGGCCTGGAGATCCAACCAGCAGCCGCGGAGGGGGCAAAGCAGGGCTGGGCGGGACCTGGCCGGAGGAGGGGCGTGTCTGCAAGCCGAGGCTGCACCCGGTGGGGTCTGGCTGCAGACGGTACAGGGAGGCGGTGCCGGTACTGTGAGGGGCGGTGCCATGCCGTCGCGTGCTGTGCCACGCTCACCTACTGGGACCACCTGGCCAAGAGTAACCGGAGCCGTGGGACACCCACAGATGAGGGTGCTGCTGCACACGTATGTGGGCAAATGTCACCCAGCCCGGACGCCCCACTGCCTACAGCACAAGACTCACACTCTACTTGCATGAGTCAAAGGACTTTTTATTGCCTTCAGTAAGACAAACAGATAGATACCGTTTCTTTTTCTTTTAATTTCTGGAGTGTGTGTGCTTGCTAGAGAGAGACGCAGAGGGGCAGCGGAGAGGGAGGAGGGGCCACTCACGGTGGTGTGGTCACGCCACAATCCCCTCTCCTCCCTCCACGTGCTGGGTTGTGCCCCACACACGTGCACGCACACGTGGCAGGTCCCTGGAGATGGTCCCGCAGAAGCAGTTCCGAGCAAGGCTTCACAGCGCGGCCCTCCCGTACCGAACGCATTGCCCTCTCCTGCCAGATCTCCTACCTGGGCTACCTCCTGCTGTTTAACTACGTCATCCTGGTGCGGATGGACGGCCGGCCCTCGCTGCAGGAGTGGGTGGTCATCGCCTACATTCTGAGCCTGGCGCTGGAGAAAATACGAGAGGTGACTTCCACACGGGCTGAGCTGGGGTGTGTCACGGGTGTCTTGCGCCAGGATAGGTGCCTGGGGCCTTCCCGTCGGGCAGGGCTTTCCTTCCCCGACCGCAGCGGGCTCGCCTTCATGCCTGTCTAGGTTGTGCTCGACCAGGTCCCGTCGACTTCCATCCGCAGCCCCAAACAGGCGCGGGAGCTGCACCTATCGGGGAGAGTAGGTCTGAGTGCATGAAGGCAGCAGCGGTGGCGGCCATACGGGGCCCCGGCTCGGATGTTTCCCGGGACCTGGCCCTTAGGACAAGGAAAAGGGGGTGCTGGCATCATGCCTGTATGCTCCAGGCCTGCACCTCACACACCCGAGGGTCTGACAAAGCAGGGCTCTCAGCCAGGGCAGTGGGTGGTGGGCCGGAGAGGGGCTGTAGGCGGGGTCTGCCCCAGCCCCACACTGCCGGGGGCTCTGAGCGAAGGAAGCAGCTTAGCGAAGGAGCAGACTTCGTACCGCACGTTGGTCATGGCACCCCAGTGGCAGCCCCAACTGCCCAGGGCAAGCCTCCCAGGAGGGGTGACATGACCACCTTGCCAAGGGTGCCGGGGATCTGGGCCGGAGCGTGTGCTGGATCAGAGGGACAGGTTTCCAAGCGTGTGTCAGCCAAGAGCAGACACTGCCTCCCCCCACGCACACCACAGAGGCCCTCCCTCCAGGGAGCACCCTGCAGATGGCAGCCACTGGGACCCCCACTCTGAACTCACTCCACTAGCTTCTAAAGGCAGCCCCTGAATCCAGACAAGCGCAGCGCCCATGGAAGAGCCCACGGCACGAGGCCGCGCTCTTGCTGCAGCCACCCACAGCCCGTCTGATCCTGTACCCTGACCTTCCTCAGTCTGCCGAGCGAGCGCTGGCCGAAGCCGTTGCCGCCCTCCCTCCTGGTCCTCTCCCAGCCCGGGGCCACATGCCC